GAGCTCTCTAACCCTGAAATCCCACATCCTCCGTCACCAGCGTTCCTTGGTCTTATTTTTATTTTGAGGATTTGGGGGGAAAAAATGGAAGATAACTTTCTTACCTTCATCAGAGAGCTGCCTGTTCAATCTATCTCTATCTATAGTTTTCTATGTCTACAACCAAACTAGCAGCAGCAGTTGAGTTGGGAGATGCAATATACTTCTTAAATCTATCTTTGAATATTTAGCCTTCCCACGAAATGCCTGTTTAATTACTCTATTTTTTTTTTTTACTCATTCCAAAGCAAACATGCAGGCAATCCTTCCACATTGTAATAAAAGCAAATTATTCGCTTCATTTTTCTTTAAATCCTCTGTTCTCATCACCTACCTTCCTTTATATCCCCTTTGGGATCCATGGCCCGAGACACACCCACCGTTTTGTTTGCCTGGCACTAAAACATGCTTTGCAGTGTATGACCACTGATCTCTACGGCTATGATGCACATTTTGGTTGACAGAAATGTTTACATTTATTGTTTAAATGTATTTATTATATTAATGTTTACAGCATTGGAAAACATAATGAATGTTTGTTTGACCTCCTCCAAATTAAAACATTTGAAAAAGCTCTAGGGAGCCCCAAGGGGGGAGCTGAAGAGTCACATCCGGGTTGCCGACCCCTGCTCTAGGTTTTCACCAACCTCTGTTTTAGCCCAATCAATAATCTCAGTCAGTCAAAGTGGCCTTGTCTTCCCTCCAGCCATGAAGAGCCAGCACCGGTTCTCCAATCCTGCTGAAGAGGACAGAGCTCTTATCTATAACTTCTCTCCTGTCTACAGAGGCTCTAACGCCATCTTTGTTCAGAGCTATTACTTCGATTGATGAATGTCGATGAGGCATAAAAGGATCTGGATCAGATTGGTCAAAGTTCCTAAAAATCACTTTAATTAGCTCAACACACACATCATTAGAAGAAAGATTACCAAAGTATTTTAGAGGAAATACTCATAAAAAAATCCTAATGACAAAGCAGTATAGAACGTATGCGGGGACGCCATCATCTGACTCAGTGCTAATGCTAGCATTAAGCTGATCAGTCATTTGAGGTAAATATGACATCAGAACTTATTAGACCAATGTATTTCCATTTCCTCTTTACTGCCTTTACTCTTTTTTTAAGAAGTCGAAAACCATCTCAAGCAAGTATAAAAAAATTCATTTAGTCGATTTGAGACTTCTGGAACTCCTATCTTTGAACAAACCAAGCTAGCCCTTTTCAATCTATGGCCGTTTCTCAGTATGTCTACTTCTGTGTTCTCATGTGCTCGTAAAACATCATTAACCTCAGCCCTATCACTTTTCCAATTCACAAGAGCAAAAGTCAGAGAACGGACAAGTACCCGGATGTTGTTTACGCCCCTTCTATGTCCAGTATCAATCAAAGCAGATTTGTCCATTCTTGAGTTTGATAGCTGTCCCAGCATGCACTTCGGCAGCAGCAGCTTCCAATGAAGCGCTCGCA